GGCATCTGCAGCCAGTTTCTTAGGATCCACTGAGGGATGGACCTTTACAAGAGCCATCAGCATCTATAACATTTCTTAATGAAATGAGGATAACGAGTTACAACAACAAAATAATTTCCCTTTGGGGTTAATAAAGTATTATTGAATTGAATATATCCTGGAGAGCCAAAACTTCCTGTCTGGTCAAGAAGGCCAACCAGCGTCTCTACTTCCTCAGGAAGCTGTGGTGAGCTGGATTTGGGAGCTCTGTCCTGAGGAGCTTTTATCGCTGTGATTGAGAGCGTGTTTTGATTGTTGTTTGTACTCTATTTTTGATGATTATTTTAGTAAAAAAACGATTGTAATTTTTAAAATAAACAAACCAAAAAAAAAAAAAAAAGATTGTAATTTAAAAAAATAAACATAAAAAAACAGATTGTAATTTTTATAAATAAACAAACTAATAGCAGAACATTACAGGAGGAGTCATAAACGGAACAAAGGTCCATAATGTCTGTGACATCATCATGTGACCTCATCCAACCTTATATATATACCAGAACGCAACTCATGAGGTCATATCACTTAAAACTCTTCACAGAGAAGAATCGTTTTAGTGTAGCACAAGCTTTTGGCAGCAAATTTCGGAAAATGTCTTATCAGAGACAACCCAACCCGAGACAAGGCAGGAACCAAGGAGCCCAAGTGGAGCAACCATCCAACGATGACGAGATGGGTGAGCCACTATTCTTGCAGTGGAAGGTGCTTGAAGACACCAAAGCCCAGCTGGAAAAACAGAGGAACCTCAAGGAAGTTTTTATTAACAAAATGATTGAGGCCAAGGAAGAACTTGCGAGATTGGAGAGATATTCCAATCCAGAAACTCTTAAGTTCCTCCAGGATCGGCTCCAAGGTACATAGTTCCATTAGTCGAAAGACATTGAAGTTTCTTCAAAGGGACTACGAGGAACTCAAAATGGCTTACGTGATCGGCCAAGAAAAGTTTTCATCTGAGCTCCGGCTGGAGAAAGAGAAAACTGAGGCTCTCCAGCAACAGTTGGACGAAGCCAGACGCCTAAACGATGAACTGAGCAGGAAGCACTAACTGGAAGTTTCCTCACTTCGTCAGCAGGCTATGAAAAATCAGTTTCAACAGGATCTTCTAAAACTATCCATGGACAAAAAGATCCAGGCTCTGCGTACAATCTCAGAAGACGCAGAGCGGAAATTGAAACAAATGTCAGCATCGTGTGAGCAGCTCAAAGTTGCTCACGCCATGAGCCAAGACAAGTTTTCTTCTGAACTCCAGCTGGAGAAGGAGAAAACTGAGGCTCTCCAGCGGCTGCTGGATGAAGCCAAACTGGCAAATGATGAAATGAGCAACAAATACCAACTGGAAGTTGCCTCCCATCATCAGGCTATGACATTACAGGATCAGGTCACAGAAAACGAGCGCCAAAAGGATCTTCTGAAAGTGGCCATGGACGAGGAGATTCAGGCTCTGCGTAAGGTGTCAGAAGACGCAGAGTCCAAACTGAAACAAGAGCTGGAACAAATGTCAACATCATTCGACCAACTCAAAGTCAGCAATGACTTGGAAGTTGAGGCACTTAAAGTTGTCAAAAACGTTCTTAAACCAGCTCAACGAAGAGATTCATGCTTCCGTCAAGACCAAGTCCCTGCCAGAGATGTCTGAGGTCCAGCCCAGAGAGCAGAAGAACTCTTTCTGGAAAAGAACAAGACATTTCTTTGGTCTCAGAAAGCCTGAAAGTTGGAAGAGAAATAAAAATGCTTCCAGCTGAAAGCTCTTCCCTTTGCACAAAAAA